AGCAGAAAAAGATGAGTAGATTTCTTAGTCATTTTCAAATGTATTTCTGGTTGCAACAATATAAGACATGAGATGATTAGACATATATAATATTTATGTTGAAATTTGCATGAGAAATTAATAAACATGAAGTGAAGGTACATTTCAAACATAAATTGGTCAATAGTCATTTTAAGATAATTGCAATTCTATTTTATCCATATACCTTCTAGTATCAGAGCAAGGCAAGATTTTGTTGGAAATAGTATTAAAAGTATATTTATCACATAGTTTTCCATTCAATGTTATGGGATATTCTCTAATAGATGTATTGCTACAATCAGTATATGGTACATATTGGTAAAAACTTTGTGCATCTTCAAATTATTTATATAGTCAAGTCCAGATTGCATTAAAAAAAATATCATGACCTCCTAATAGCAGAGAAATGAATTGATCATTAAGAAAAGGATTGTCATTGAAATCATGGTAAGAAAATAATCAGCCATAATGTGTAGAGAGATATATTTTAAAATCTCTACTTATCCCCACTTCCCTATCAATATCACTTAGGTTTCTGTTTTCTGGTTTTCCTCTCACATCAAAAATAAATGTCTGTTTTTATAACTATGGCAGTATTTGCAATGAGTTTGCCTCTGAATTCCTAGAAAAAGAAATATGTTCTCAGTATATTTGTACTTAAATGTTGCCTTTCAGAAAGGACTAGTGAAAGCAATGAGTTAAAGAACATTCATTTTTTGTTGGTGTAATAACAAATTGTGAAATAGCACCATGTTCAATTGTTATCTAACTAATACAAAAGGTACAAAAGTGCACCCCTACATTCCCTCCAGCCAGAATCCTGTCACCTTCACCACTGTTTTGGTGACAAGAGGTCTCAAGATATCTGTCATGATGCGTGTACATCTTGGACCTGCCCCATCTATGCTCAGGTCTTCTGAACAGAAAGGGTTCTTTCCTTCTTATCCAAAGTCCTGGGCTGAGAACATTTCCCCGGAGAACGTCCCACTCAGTATCTCTATTTTAATCAACTAAGTCTTTTGAATGACCTTAATTCATTAAGCAGGAGAGCTGATGATATGTAGCACAGTTGGGAAATAGCCATCTTTCCCTTATTTGGTCAGCAATTTAAGCAGAAGCAGCTATACTCCATAAATCCTAAATTATGATATAGGTTTTATGGGATGAGCAGCTCATCTTTTTTTGGGCATCTCAGTAAATGAGAATACTCTCATATTTATCATGGTTCACTGTATGTATGTGATATATAGTCCTTGAATTAGATCTTTTCCAGTCCACCCCCCCTTTATTTTTAGGAGGGGGAGCAGAGGGAGATGTCTAAAGCTTTTGCAATATTCTGATTCTAACAGCCAGCTTCTCTTTCCTTAGGACCTCAGTTTTCTTGATGTTGTTGGTCTCTTTTATTTAATCTTGTGCAAAAAAGCAACAATCTGCATCCTAGTTCATCTAGACCTACACACACACGCACACACACACACACACACACACACATTATATATATAAGCATATGATATGTCTTCCTATCTTTGCTTCTACTCTCCGCCTCATATGTGCTTTTCTTCCTATCCTCTTGAGGTTTAAAATATGTTTATTCCTTTCCCCTCTAGCTTTACAATTTTTCTTTTACCACATTCTGTTCTCTCTGATTTAATATCTTCATTATTTTCTTCATCTGCTAATATATTACCTTCATCATCCCATTTTTATTTTCCCTTTGGGATTTTATTGTCCTAGATTAAATCTGGGAAACTTGAATCTCAAACTTTGAGTTGATGCGAAAACTTCTTTTTTAATCATGTGTGTATGTGCATGTGTGTAGACACATACATAGATACATATGCTTTATAAAATACATGCAGATTTAGAACATTATGCATAATGTCTTGTAAGCTTCTAATGCAAATATATTGAGTTATTAGAGGATGACGAATGCTGTAAACTATTAATTTTGGTTTGGTTTTGATCATATTTGATAACAACCTTACTATCACTCATCACCTTGTCACCTATTAGGGGATGACAATTTTGTGGGCCTTATAAACCCGTAAAATATTAGGAAAAGGATTGTAATACCTAAACATGATAGTGGGGTAAAATGCAGTAGACTTTGGCATCAGAAAGACCTGGATTTGTATTTTGCCTCAGGCTCTAGGATGTATGACCATGGTGAGACACTTAATGTCTCTGAGCCTGAGTTTCATCATCTATAAAATGGGGATAATAATTGCACCTATCTCACAAGGTTATTGTAAGACTCAAATAAGATAATGTATATAAAGTGTTTTGCAAACATTAAAACTCTATATGAAAGTGAGCTATTATTATTTCTACGAAAGGCAGTACCACTTCCGAAGGTGATGAAATTGGGTTTCGGGGAAGGATTTGTTGTAGTATAAGAACATTAATTCTGCCACATGGAGTCTTTACCCATTGACAGCACTACTGAATGGAGAAAGTGGGGGCTGGCAATGTGGGGGGTACTGTAGTTTCCCTGGCATGCCCACTTAAGTCAGCCATAGTCTTTATTGAACACTTTGAAGGTCGGGTGACTGAAGTGGAAAGGTAAACTGCTTCCCGTCTGTACCCCAGAGTGATACAAAGCTTTCATTATTCCCCCCATATTTGGAGGAGAAGAAAAAGCTATACAATTACTGAATGCTGGTTTAAAAAGTTCAAGTTTGTTTCTAAATTAAATTAAGTATTCTGAAGGAATCCTTGTATTTGGATAGGAAGACATGAGTAAATTGGGGCTCAGGTTTATTGCATTGGTAAGTAGTTACTTGGGAAATGACATTACATACCATAAAATGTCCCTTGTGGTCAGTTAAAAGAGCAAATAGATAAATGGAATGTTAAAGGAAAATATGTGGATTTCCCTTTTGGTTTGTGCCCCGCCATTTTTTTTTTCATGTGACTATCTTTCTTTGAGATAGAGGGTAGACCTGTGATTTCTTTAGCATAAGGAACTCTCATGTGAGGAAACTCCTTCAACCAGTTATTCTTGTTTCTCTCTCTACAGTTTGTAGTCCTAAAGAATTTCCTAGAGCACTGAGAGGTTAACATCCTTGCTCAGGATCATGTGACCAGTATATTTCAGAGGCAGGTCTTGAACCTCCATCTTCTTGCTTTTGCCATTGCCTTCCTCCATTACACAATGGTGCCTCACAACTATCATTAACATTGAAAAAATAGATAAGAAAGTTGAATACAAAGGAAAAGGATTAAAGCTTTAGAGCTATAAAGGACCTCAGAAATCATCCAGTCTTATGCCCTCATTTTATAGATGTGGAAAATGAGATCCAGAGAGGTAATTGCCTAAAGACAGAGTTTTTAGGGCTTCTCAATCACAGGCAAACAAATGAGTGACTGAATTCAAATTTGACCTCAGACTAGTTGTTTGACCCTGGCAAAACACTTAATTTCTGTTTGCCTCAGTTTACTCATTTATAAAATGGGACTAATAATGTTACCTGGCTTCCAGGGTTCTTATGAGTATCAAATAAGATTGTAATCATAAAGTGCTAAGCATAGAGCCTGGCACATGGTGATGCTATGTAAATGTTACAAAAAATAAATAGTATTTAGCCTTTATGTAAAACTTTGAGATTTACAAAATGCATTACAAATATCATCTCATTCTAGCTTCACAATGTTCCTAGGAAGTGGGTGCTATCATTATTTCCATTTTACAGATGAAGAAACCAAGGCAGACAGCAGTTATGTGATTTAACCTAGTGTCATATAACTAGTAAGTGGCTGAAGCCAGATTTGAACTCCAGTCTTCCTAACTTTAGGTCCAGTGCTCAATCCATTGTCTCATCCCTTTCTTTGCCTACCCAATTCTACACAAGCTCCCAGCATTTGCAGGCTGACAGTTGAGATATTATCTGGATAGAGACCATCTAGTAAGTAACTGACGCCAAGATTTGAATTAGAGTTTTTCTGACTCTGGTCCAGTGTTCCAGCCCACTCTGCCACCTGCTTGCCTCTTAGCACCAACTATCTCTTTCTAATGGTTATGGTCTAAAGCTGATGAATTACCTCAGTTTTCTTCATATACACATTCACAGGAAACAAAAGACTCGTAGAAAATAGCCTATGGGTACAAAAATGAGCTAATAGGAAATTCTGATACCCTTGAAGACCGAGAAGGCCTGAAAAATCTTGGCCAATCCCTTTCCTTTATGTCTAAATAAATCAAGGGCCAGACACTTGCCTAGCAGATCTAAGCAGGATGGTGGTTCTAGCTAGTACATGTCCTACTTGAGAAAGTCCCATTTTCTCAAGAAATGTAGAAGGTCTATTGTGGATACAAAGCTTTCTAATTTCTCTTGAAATCAAATTATATTATTCTGAAAAGTATGCCACTTATCTCTTATTCCCTAACAAATATCTATCGGGGGGGAGAGAGAGAGAGAGAGAGAGAGAGAGAGAGAGAGAGAGAGAGAGAGAGAGAGAGAGAGAGAGAGAGAGAGAGAGAGAGAGAGAAAGAAAGAAAGAAAGAAAGAAAGAAAGAAAGAAAGAAAGAAAGAAAGAAAGAAAGAAAGAAAGAAAGAAAGGGGGAGGCAGTGTAGTACAGTACATAGATAATTGACCTCAGAATTTGGACATCCTGGGTTCATGCTGTTCCTTTGACATTATTGGCTTAGTGACCCTGGGAAAGTCAGTCAGTTTAACTACTTAGTGTTGAAGGCAGCTGTCAAATCAACACAAATTCATTAATTACCTACTATGTGACAGGCACTATGATAGTGAAAATACAGTAAATGAAACAATACCTACTTGCATGTACTTTACATTCCAAAAATATAAGTAGAGGATCTGCTTTGGTTAAGGGAGTTTTCTTCCAAAAGCACTATGCACCACTGGAACCATGGGACTCAGATAAATAAGGCTATCAATTTAAATGCATGCTCTCCCCTCTGCAGATAGGGCATTTCTCAGAGTGAATTGTATCTTGTTCTTTCTTCTTTAAACAGGTTATGTGGGTATGCAATTTATGTCGAAAGCAACAAGAGATCTTAACCAAGTCTGGAGCTTGGTTTTTTGGGAGTGGACCTCAGCCACCAAGTCAAGACGGTACACTCAGTGACACAGCTACGGGTGCAGGCTCTGAGGTGCCTAGAGAAAAGAAAGCCAGACTACAAGAACGATCGAGATCTCAGACCCCCTTAAGCACAGCAGCAGCCTCCCAGGAAACCCCTCCTTCAGGGGTCCCATCGGAGCGAAGCAAAGGAACAGAACTGTCCCAGAAAGCCATGGGTCTGGAGCAGAAACAGGTTTCATCCAGATCTAGAAGTGAACCCTCTCGAGAAAGGTAATAATACAGCAGACCTGTTCTTTCTCCCTAGAGATCCATGGCAGGGGCATAGTTAGAAAGCCTTGCCATTTTGGGGACCTGGCTTGTAAAAGGTAGTGATTGTTAGAAACCTTTGTGCATCCAAAACAAAACTGATTGTACAAGTGAAGAAATGGGTGGATAGGTGATCATGGGAGACCCTCATTTTGTAGATGAGGAGAATGAGATTCAGGTTACATGATTTGCCGAAAGTCACAAAGGTATCAGATGTGAAATATGAACCCAGAACCTTTGACTCTAGAGCCAGTGTTCTTTCCACTGTATTTAACTTCAGGGTATATATGATTGGAAACATATTTCATACTTATTGTTGTTGTTTAATTGTTTGTCATATCTGACTCTCTGTGACCCCATGTGAGGTTTTCTTGGCAAATATACTGTAGTGGTTTGCCATTTCCTTCTCCAGCTCATTTTACAGATGAAGAAACTGAGGCAAACACAGTTAGGTGACTTGTCCGTGGTCACATAGCTAATAAGTGTCTAAGATTAGATTTGAACTCAGGTCCTCCTGACTCCAGGGTCAGCACTTTATCCAGTGCACCACCTAGCTACCCTTTTCATACCTATAGACCTAAACAAAATATATCATCTGGCCCTGTCTTAGACAAATCTATAGAAATTTAGAGTTACAAGGTTTTTTTTTTTATATTCATTACCCACTGACTAAGTGGCATAGTGCATGAAGCATTGGACTTGAAGTCAGAAAAATCCGAGTTTGAATCTTATCTCAGACACCTAGTAGTTGTGTGACCCTGGGTAAATCAAATTATCATGACTCAGATTCCGAATTTGTTAAATGGGGATAATAATAGCACCAATTTTTCAAAGGGATGCTGTAATAATTAAATAATCTAACACAAAAAATACTTTATAAAACTTAAATCTCTACATGAATGCTAGGTATTGTTACTACAATATAACCTTCTGACAGCTACTTTCACCTCTTCTGCAGTTCCTATAGATATTTGGTAGGTAAAATACAAAGAACATTGGACTAAAAGTAAGGAGACTTGGGTTCTGACACTGATACTGACCTAATCCATCTAAATGTCATCTGACAAATGATATTGAAAAACTGTGTATGCTGATAACCCGATCCTTAAGCAAAGAGATTGAGCAAAATGATCTCTAAGAAGGTCTTTCATCAGGTGTGTTATCTGGAAAATAAAATTAAGGGGTGAGAGAGGATTATACTGGGAGAAGGAGAAAGGGAGAAGCAGAATGGGGTAAATTATCTGACATGAAATAGACAAGAAAAGGCTTTTACAATGGAGGGGAAATGGGGGAAGGTGAGAGGGAATGAATGAATCTTATTCTCCTAGGATTTGGCTTAGGGAGAGAATAACATACGCAATGGGGTATGGAAATCTATCTTACCCTTCAGGAAAATAAGGGGGGGGGACACAAGAGAGCAGGGGGTTGATAGAGGGGACAGCAGATTGGGGGAGGGGATAATCAGAAGCAAACAGTTCTGAGGAGGGACAGGGTCAAAAGAGAGAATAGAATAAATGGGGGTTAGGATAGGATGAAGGAAAATATCCTTAGTTTTTCACAACATGACTATCATGGAAGTATTTTGCATGACTACACATCTGTAACCTGTATTGAGATGCTTGCCTTTTCAATGAGGGTGAGTGGGGAGGGAGGAAGTGAAAAAATTTGGAACACAGAGTTTTAAAAACACATGTTAAAAATAACAATAATAATAGTAGTAATAATAATTTAAGAAATAGGGTCCAATTAAAATAAAAGAAGCTCTTTCATCTGGAAGTTCAATGCCCTATGAGAAAAGCATGGCGATAGCATCACCAACTTTATTTTATGTCTGAACATCTCTCTTTTGCTATGGTATAATATCATATATGTCAACATGATAATGTCGACTGTCTATACAAATACTCAGAAAATATGAATTAGGAATCTAGCTGCTATTAGCAGCTATACCAAATAATGTTTAAAAAGAAGTTAAGGCTATATCTGATTGCTTATCATCTCAGGGAGAGGGGAGGGGATGGAAGGATAGAATTTGGAACTTAAAACTTAAAAAAAAAACACAAATGTTAAAAAAATTACTTAATTTGTAATTTGGGAAGATGTATTTTAAGAAAGGAAGTTAAGGCTAAGATATTTGGGGGAAAAGATAATAAACAACTCTAGAAACATTGAGTGTGTTCATTCTTTTGGTTGAGTAAACTAATGTAGAGAACTGCTTGTTCTTTTTTCCTACCTACTTTTTTCTCTTTTCCCCTTCAAAGTGTGGTGAGATAAATTATTGTTTTCAAATTACTCTATTGCTACAATAAGGAAGTTCTATTCTATTACTAACGAGTGGAGGTGTGTATAGAAGTGTGTATTCAAGTTCTCCTTGTGACACATATTGACTCTGTGACCCTGTTGACTCAAGTTCAAAAAGATCTGTTTTCAAGTTCTCCTTGTGACACAAATTCACTATGTGGCCCTGGACAAATCATTTGACCTCTCAGTGGGGGGTCCCTACACACTTGAAGTCATAATTCTGGATAAAAATAAATAATGTTTATACAATATTTAATATTTGCAAAGCTCTTTAAACACATTTCCTTATTTTAACCTTATAGCAGCTCTCTGAGGTAAGTGCTATATCTATTTCACAGAAGAGGAAAGAAGGCTTATTTGCCCATAATCACAAAGTTAGTGTCTGAGGGGATGTTTGGGTTTAGATCTTCATGACTAATTCCCCTTCACTATGGTTTACATGAAATTGCCTGACCTAGTGCTATTCTGATGTGAATCCATTTATATTAAAACATTCCTTGTTCATATTTTCCTGGATAAATCCTAGACTGTCAGTGCTATCATGTTGACATACATTGCAGTATAGAGATGTTCACAGTTGAAATGAAGTAGTCAATAATATTTCCTGCTTCTATCATAGACCAAAATATTTTTAGATAGAAGGGTTTTTAGTTGTCATCTTGTCTGATCCTTTTGCTTCATGGATGAGATAAGCAGCACTCACAGATGTTAAATGATTTGCCAGATGGCACCAGGGTCAGAACCCCAATTTTCTGACTCCCAATCCAATGCATTTTGTATCATATCACTTAGTTCACATCTCTTGTCAAATGTTTTTTGGTGTTTTGCATGTAACACAGAGTTATTAGCAAAATGGTCTTTGATAGTCATTGACGTTATCTAAGAAATGTTTCAGGCAATCAACAAACATTTGAGAGCTTACTATGTACTAGGCATTGTTGTAAGCACTGTGGATACAACGAAAGGCAAAAACACAAAATCAGTTCCGGTCCTCAAGGACTTACATTCTAATGAAAGAGAAGATAGACGTAGGTAACCTTAGAAGACAAGGCTTAAGTGGCTGGGAGAGCTAGCAAAGGACCCCTGCCAAATGTGACTCATTCAACAACTATTTATTATTCTTTTGATCTTATCCATGTAGACAAGTTTAAAATGTTGAAATCATTCACCATGGTAGAAACCATAAAACATGGTTCTAAGAAACACACTGATACAGTTGGCTCATATCTATAAAACAATAACTTATTATAGAGCTTAACCGTTGCTCTACATCACCCACTTCTAAAACACGATGTCATATTTATTTATTGAATCATACACTAATGTTCATATGATGTGAATGCATTTATTTCATAGCCTAAAAGAGAAACGTTCTTGTGGTCTAGTTTTTGTGATTTAAGGTTTTTTTTCTATTGTTCTTATTTTACTTTTTATATTTCTGGTAGGAAGAAGACTTCAGTGGCTGCCGAGCAGAATGGCAAAGGGGGGCTGAAAAGTGAGCGTAAACGTGTGCCAAAATCCTCCCTCCAGCAAGGGGAGGGACCTGTGGAGGAGAGGGACCGGAAAGAAAGGCGGGAAAGCAGAAGGCTGGAGAAGGGTAGGTCACAAGATTTGCCAGAAAAACACGAGGAGGGCAAAGGAGTGGAGGATGAGAAACAAAGGAAAGAAGAAGAATATCAGACTCGATATCGAAGTGACCCTAACCTAGCGAGGTATCCCATCAAGCCCCACCCCGAAGAGCAGCAGATGCGCATGCATGCCAAAGTCTCTAAAGCCCGCCATGAAAGGAGACATAGTGATGTGTCTTTGCCCCACACAGAGGTAGAAGAATCAGACGTGCCAGAGAACAAGTTAGGGAAACGGGCCCAGCCCTCTGGAACTCAGGATCGGAAATCCCTTTTGGAAACTCAGAGGTCGTATTCCATAGAAAGAACGGGTGATGTAAGAATATCTGTTTCTAAACAATTAACTAACCATAGCCCACCAGCTGCCAGGCATGGCCCTGTTCCAACAGAACACCCTGAGTCCAAGAACCAAGAGTCTTTCAAAAAGCAGAGTCGCCTGGATCCTAGCTCCGCTATTCTTATCCGGAAAGCAAAGAGGGAAAAAATGGAAACGATGCTGAGGAATGACTCTCTGAGCTCTGACCAGTCAGAGTCAGTACGGCCATCTCCGCCCAAGCCCCATAGATCCAAGAGAGGAGGGAAGAAGAGGCAAATGTCTGTCAGCAGCTCCGAGGAGGAAGGGGCCTCTACACCTGAGTATACCAGCTGTGAAGATGTGGAAATAGAAAGTGAAAGCGTCAGTGAAAAGGGTAAGTGAGAGATAGATTGTGAAGTAATGTGGGGGAAATGGCGAAATGAGCGCTGCCCTCTTAGTCTCGCTTTATGACGCTTGGACTCAGCTGCTAGGTTCTTAACTCTACTCACAATCCGTGACAATCCCACAATTCTTATGTTGAATTTGGAAATACTATCAAAAGTTCCAGATTTACAAGGTGATTATCCATCATAACTACAGAACGGTGCCTTGAAATTTAAGCTCTTTAAAATATTGGTTGTTGATTCACTTGGTTTTGACTGGAGAAGGCTACTTCTGTTTTCAGTGGGTCTAAAAGGGGTAAATGTTCTAAACAAAAGGAAATTGTTGACTTAAGAGGTTTGATGTGGTAGTCATAGAAGGCGACACTATTCCAATGAATCTTTCTCATAAAGCTTCGAGGAAACTATTATCTCAAGAAAAGAATCGAAAGAATTTTAATGGAAAAAAAATTTCTAATAGAAATTGTGGTAAAAAGAGGACTGAAAACCCAAAGGAAAATCCATGTAATGTGAGTGTGTGTGTGTGTGTGTATACACACATTACTTGGATTTTCATATATATGCATGCATACACATATAGTTTACATGTCTATGTGTGGATTCTCATATGAGTGTGCATATAATTGTGGGTATGCACATACATGAATGTGCTCATGCATGAGTTTTCATATTCATGTGTATGTATACACACAGATTTTACATATGTATATAGACACATGGATTTTCATTTATGTAGGTATGTATGTGTGCATACACTTCCATATGTAGGCATATGTGTATTTTCACAGATGTATACACATGACTTTTTGTATATAAATACATATATGCACACATGAGTTTTCACACGTGTACCCACAGGATTTGTGTGTATACCTGTATGTTTATGTATGCATGTATGTATGCACATGCATGTGGATTTTCATATGTATGTGTAGGCAGATGAGGGAATTTCCCTATTTAAAAATAGATATATGCACGCACATACTTGATTTTCATTTATACACACATACAAGGATTTACATATATACACACACATGGATATTTATTTCAGAAATGTACTAATCATTTACCACAATGACTTAAAGTTTTCAAGATCAAGACTTTATTATTTGTTTCAATTGATTCCCATACTTTTAACTCCCCAAATCTCCATCATTTGATTCATTTGATATATATGTATGTGTGTGTGTGTGTGTGTGTGTATACATCTCTCTCAATAGATGTGTACATATGTATTAAAAAACTGGGAACATCAATGGGGTATTTGAAAGGAATATAATGGGGGAGGGTGTTGGTTGTTGTTTTTGTTTGTTTTGAGGATAGAGAGGAAATATGGCCATCTGACTACAGTAAAGTCATCCAAGCTTTCTTTTCAGAGGAACTAGTTGTGAAAAAACATAAACAAAACAAAACAAAAAAAAAACCTAAAATAGTATTTGATGAAAAGAAAAATATGATAATGTATCTGTGGGAATGGCTATTCTCTTTCTTTAGGATATGGAACATCTTGAGGGTGATTGAATAAAGAGGCAGAATGTTTATTAAGAAAATGTTTCAATGTCATTTAAAACATGTTCCCTTTAACAAATGGAACAACAGAATGCTGTTGTATTCTGTTCACATAATGGCTAGTCAGCACTGGATTGAGAACTAAGAAACCAATTTTCATGACCTCACTATGCTAATAATGAATGAGATGTGTGACTTGGTGTGAGTTGGGTTGTCTTTGTGAGCCTCAGTCCTCTTATCTGGAAAATGAGCATTTGAACTAGATGGTTTCTAAGTTCCCTTCTAGATTGAATGTTTTTCTATGATTTTATTGATTAAAGGGGCTGTCTCAGGCTGCCCATGTTTTTGATTGAGGTGAGAAAAATTAAGTTTTGCATTTTTGTTGATGAACATATGCTTATTTAAGGAAATAAGTTTTTCTGTACCATATACTTATATTTCTTTTACCATAACTAAATTGACTAATAGTAATGAGTAAATTTAAAAAGTTAACTTCACTTTACTCACACCAAACCAAATCTTCTTATGCTTCATACAAAAGAAGTTATATGCAAAAATGTAAAACACTCACATTAGGAGAACTACATGCATTTATTGAGAAAGGACATTCTATCATAATGTTATTGCAACTCACATGAAGAGCAGTCGTTCAGTGGAGCTCTTATGTACCAAGAATCAATTTGTTCCTTTTTCAGTTACCTCCTGAAGAGGTTTAATGTGCAAGAGATGGTAGGCTTTATTCTCAATCCCATATGAAGCATTGGGAGCAATGTGTGAAAAGTTGTAGAGACACAATTAGCCTTAATGTAAAGGGAAAAGGAAATAAAAAGCAAACTTCCTAACATTTAGAGCTATCCAGATGCATGAAGACATGGTTCAACAGTTTGTATGTTTCCTTTCATTGAGAGCTTTCTGGTGAAAGGCAGACAATTATTTGTTGGGTATAATTTATGTACAGGGCATTCTTGGTCAGGGATTGTTAGGATCAGATAGACTTTGAGGTCTCTTCTAAATTTGATTTCTATTTTTAATTATTATATTGTATATATTATATAATCACATAATTATATACATTTAATATATTATATTTTATAACTAACAGTTAACTACAGTATGTTCTTTAGTCAGACAGTGAATGGGTTCCCATGATTACCTTCCATGCTTTACTCTTATATTTCTTCAAGACTAATCTGGTTCTTAAGAATTATAATGTTTTAACTGAATCTGCTTATTGGACATGTGGACTACTCCTAATACACTATATAATCATACTTACAATGATAACCACAATGAAACAACAACCATAATAGCTGGCATTTATGTAGCTCTTCAAAGTTTTCAAAGAGCTTTACAAATCTTATCTCAGTTGACCCTTCAACTGCCTTGTAACATAGGTACTAGGGAAAACTGAGGCAGCTAAGTGGCACAGTGGATAGAGCACTGAGCTTGGAATCAGGAAGATTCATTTTCATGACTTCAAATCTAGCCTCAGACACTTAGCTATGTAACCATGGGCAAGTCACTTGACACTGTTTGCCTCAGTTCCTCATCTATAAAAATGACCTACAGAAGGAAATAGCTAACCACTCCAGTATCTTTGCCAAGAAAACCCTAAAATGGGGTCATGAAGAGTTGGACACAACAGAAATGACCAAACAATAAGAGGCAGAGAGAGGCCAAGTGAATTCCCCAGAGTCGCACGGCTAGTAAGTATCTAAGACAAGATTTCAAGTCAGATCTTCCTGATTTCAGATTCGACACTCTTATCCACTGTGCCCACTTAGCTTTTATAATTCTCTTAGATAAACTAGATGGCTCTATGTAGAAATGTATGTATCTTGTGTATGTCTAAACCAGATCCATCTATGCCTATTTATCTAAATACTTATATTGATAATATATATTTGTATTTTGTCAGATGTAATGATACATGGTTGTTATCCCAGCTCTTCAGAGACTGGGCTGATAAATCTACTGAGACTGCTAACATCACTTGAGTGTGGGAATTCTGTGCGACAGTAAAGCTAAAGCTGATCAGATGTTCACTAAGTTCATTCACGGCAAACCTTTGGTCTTGGCAGGGCCACTCGGCTTTCTAAAGAGGGGAGAAATTGAGCAGGTCATATACTTTGTACTGATCAGTAGTGGTATCAGGCCTATGAGTATCTACTACACTTCCAGCCTGAGGGAGATGAAGAAACTCACTCTCAAAACAAAAGAAATATGTTCTATAATTTTACCAGGACTCAAAGTCCAACTATATAGTTTAAATAACTTAACTCTTTCTAAAAAAAAGTCACAATATTTGCTCTTCTTCATTCCTGTGTTCCTGTGGCTTTTCTTCCATTCTTTGATTTGTTAAGTGTTATCACATCTGCTGCCAATTCTTATAGTACTCATGGATGTGGTTTATTTGGGTGTAGAGACATGAACTCATAAAAAGCAGCTATATGATTTTTTAAAATAGCATCTCATTTGTCTTAGGTTTCTATTACCTGATATTCAATTTTGCTCTATCCACCCTAATACAACAACTACTTTTCCTTGTTAGAAAAAACTGAAGGAAAATAAGAGCTAAATAATTCTACTTTCATGTCATTTTTTGTTGTCTACATCTCTCCCACCCAAAACAGTTTTCTTATTGATGCTTCATCCCTCTTCTTACCCCTAACAGAATTTAAAAGGCCCTGTTTTGGTTTTATTTATTTCAAATGTTTTTGACAGCTATTTTCCTAGAGTAAATGGTATTTTAATATTTTCAAATTGACAATATATGAAGTACTGTATCTGAAGAGTAGTGCTGTTCCTATGCACAACTTTTTAATAATGATAATAATGATTAACTTTATATAGCACATATCATGTACCAGGCACAATGAAAAGTACTTTACTATTATTAGCTCATTTAATCCTCACAACCCTGAGAGGTATCTGTTACAGTTATCCTCATTTTATAGATAAGCAAGCTGAGGCAAACAGAATTAAGTGACTTGCCCAAAGTCACACAGCTAATAAAAGATGGTGTAAAGATAGACATGAACTCGAGTTTTCCTGACTCCAAGCCTGGTACTCCATCTGCTGTGTGTGCCACCTATTTGCCCCATTAACTATGCTAATGAAAAGGGCAATCTGGAATTATTACCAAAGAGTTATTAAACTGCCTATACCCTTTGACCCAGCAATACCACTACTAGATCTATTTCCAAAGATGACTAAAGAAAAAGGAAAAGAACCCTTATGTTCTAAAATGTTTATAGTAGCTCTCTTTGTGGTGGCAAAGAACTGGAAATTGCAGGGATGCCCATTAATCGGGGAATGGCTGAATAAGTCGTGGTGTATAATTGTGATGGAATGCTATTGTGCTATAAGAAATGATGAGCTCAGTGATCTTAGAAAAACATGGAAAGACTTGCAGGAAATAATAAAGAACAAAATGAGCAGAACCAAGATAACATGGTATACAGTAACAGCAATAATATTTTAA